ACGTTTTTTGTTCACTATTAACACATTTATATTCATAGATATTCTAACGTACATAGTCCTCAGTAATCATAGCAACATCGTGTACTTTGACTTATAGTGGAATGATTCCCCGGCGTTGCGCTATTATTGTAATTAAAGAGTTTCCATACATTAAACATGGAATGACGTTCACTAGGATTTCCCAACTCGAGCGCACATCTTCTCATTCTCTGTAATTAGCATTGAAATTGCAACAGTCTCTGTCGCTACTTAACAAAATCTGAGTTTTGGTTACAGTTTTTTAAATACACAATTTTTTGCCCTTATTTACTCGCAAATTAATTAAAAGTTTCACTCAACGCCCCTTAAGTTTGCGTTCCTTTTTGATATATTATTTAAAAAAATTTAATGCATTAATTTCAAAACAAATAGTATTTTTATTAATTTGTATCTTATTTTAATGTTTCTATATATTATAATTTAATTTAATACAAAACTCTATAGTGATTAGCATTATGCTCAGAATCACGATCAAGTTGTACGTGCAAACCATCCGGTTAATATTTCCTGTTTGCTTCGTTGCGGTTAAATCCGTTGCAATCACGTTATTGCGTGTCAATTTTGCTTATGTGTAAATTCTCGCATATTCTATTCCCATCATCGATCACGAACGTATCACCTTACTTACGAAAACATCGATACCAGTTTTCAAGTATCTAAACGAGTACGTGATGTAATAACATGTAACTAGCATCCATATTTTTTTTACGAAATTTACGGCAAAAAAATTATTAATATATACGTTTTTATCGATAAACATGTTTAAATCTCGCGTTTGGTAGTTTTTGTAAAAGACAATACTTTCATGATAAAATAAAATTTAAAGCAACGATGACAAATTAAAAATAACTATTCATAACACGACAACGTGCCAAACACTAATTTTTAATTCTATAAAATAAATTTCCAATATATTTAATGGAATGGGCTATTTGTTAATTGATATAGTGTTATTATAATAAAGAGAGAGGGATTCAAAAGCAGCACTACTGCTTTTTCGTACTGTAAAATAATATTGATGTTTTTATCATCGCTGCCATTCTTATCGTTGCTCATACGCGTCATACAAGTGTTGCGATATATCAATTAAAATTTATCAACGCTTTCTACTTACGTCAAGAATAACACGATACACACTCGTTTGCAAGCGGAGATAATTAGATTTTCTGAGAAACTGTGACAGCTTGCGCAGATTTTATTTTCTGGGATGGTCCATAAATGTACTTATGAGTATTTCTACCAAGAATAATCCATATCGTATGTACGGCTTATTTGAATTGTGCGTAACTAAAACCACATGAGCCGCCGACAACACAAATCATCTTTCTGTTGACTATAAAAGAATGCGGAGTTCGTTTAGCCTTGGCAGAGATCGAGGTAAATCAGATTTAGACGTTATAATCGCTCCGATGATGGAGAGTCGTGACGAAAATCCCTTTGAAGGAAGACGCCGATTCGAAGAAGGATCCATTTATTAGCGGACCATGTATTTCGTAACACGATATTCTCTGTATATCTTAAATGCATCAAGGAAAAATAGCGCTAACATTACTACAATTAATTTATGGTTACAATTTATGTGAAGTTGCATCGATTATTATAGTTACATGCAACGCTGCAAGTATGTAAATGTAATTGCTGCATACGATATATAAAAATGTGCGAATCTCGAAACTAGTTTACTTTGAAAAGTTAAAAAAATAGCATTATACATATGCACCCGTTATTGTAGATTATTCTCACGATTCAAACTAATATTGGCCCCTCACTGGTTTAACGAGCATATAAAAAAGTCATAAAAGCGAGATAATTAGCAGTTGATGGTAGACTTGTTATTGCAATTGTTCGAAGCGTACATACGTGTGTATGTACGTACGTTTTGCAAAGATTTCTATCTGCAAAATGTTTAGTATAACATGAACTGCTATTGATCTTATAAAAATACAAGCGTTTTCTAAAATAGTACATTTCAAAATTAAATCATGTTTAAAATTTTATTCAATACAAAATATACATTAATTTATTTAATTAATAAAAAAACATAAATATTAATGTTCAGAAATAAATTTCCCGAATACTTGAACAATTAAATGAATATAAAATAATATATACATAATGAATATAAATGAATGTATATATAAGTTTATGTTATAAGCTCATAAACTGAACACGTGTGTACAATTTTGTATCATATAGTTTATAAAAAATTAATTATGCACTACAGTACTGCGGGGATTTTCTTGACTATTAGCAAATTTATCATTCAACACGTCGTTTGCTGATAACTTAAAGAAAAGAGATATTGATTATCGGTCATTATATGTTCTTCATTACGTCTGACATTATGCCACGATGTTATTAACCGGTGAGTTATTACCAAATAAAAATGTATTAGTACGCGATAGCTTTAACCTTACGCCCCTAGGACAAATGTTAGTTCGCTCTTCGTTAATTGTAGAGTATAAATAATCGAGTTTCTCGTGGATAATGTCGGACCGGTTTCACGATAATTATTTTCGCCGTGGCTTTTTGTGAGTCAAACTGAGACGATCGGTGAGTCAGTGCTGAGACCTGCTGAGACCTTGAATAGCATCGGCGAGTATCTCAGGCTTCATAAATGCCATAGATTCGGTAGGTTACTTTAACCGATTTACCTTTGATCTATCTATCTCACATCCTTTGATCAATTGTATTTTCGTGGTATAACTTTCTATAATGACCATGCACTCTTCATCTTGGATAATCTTGGATAATGCTAATGCCGGCGATACTCTAACTTGCAAGTGACATAACTCTGAAAGTACTTAACGGATATTAATCACGGCGTTTTGGAAAGTTCTTGAGTTAAGTTAGCAGAATGTGGAATAAAAAAGAAGAGTCGCATTAAAAAATTTCTAAGTTATTTCTTTACGTGACACTTTGACGAAGCTATTCAAGATTGCACAGATATTGCTATGAAATGCGTCACTAAAAGCCATACAACTTTGTCCTTAACATTTCTTTGCTATTATGGATATTTTAAAAGTTATTCAATGTGTTTAGATCATACATTCAGTTTATATACATATATTTATTTGTTGTGTAGTTTTTTATCTATACATATGTGCAACGTTTCTCCTCCGCGCAACGTTCCGAGAAGTCAAATTCATGGAAAGATAAGTGATATTTTTTAACTTCATATATGATTAATTGCTATCTTTGATATGTTCTGATGACATACAAGCTAAAGAAATAGATATTATTATGCTCGTTATTGTAATTTTCCAACAGACTAACTTAAATCGAAAATTAACTCAATTAATTGAAGAACAATTTAAGAAATAAATAATTGATATTTGCCACGATACAAAAGAAGATACAATAATCTAAAAGATTCTTAGATAAACGCCTGCTGACTGATATACTGCGGAAAAGTCTTTCTACAGTATATTATTGTATTATTGGTACATTCGCCACTGTAAAATTGACGTTTTATTTTCCAAAATCGACAATTTTATTAACAGTTTTGTTTGCATCTGTTAATAAAATTGTGGCTACAAACGAGACTATTAAGAAAATTTTCGAATTTTGAAAATAGAGTCAATTTCACAGTGATATTGTTTTTGTCCAAAATGTACTCAATATGAGACATTTATTCTTTTTATCAAAAGACTAAGTAACGCCAAATTTTAATAATTAATAATATATTAGTATCTTTTACATTTTACCCATTAAACACCGAGCACCAGTTACGTTGCATTTACGTTGTTGAGTAAGAAATTGTAACATAAATGCAATGTAACTGATGCTCGGTGTTTACTGGGCATTTATTTGTTACCCTAACTCATACCATCTGCTGATACTGTTGTTAAAATTGATTGAAGTTGTCGATAAGACAGACTTCAGTTATTCTGTAAGTTATTCAGGCCATTGGTTATTTCAAAGATGTCGCGATAAGTTTAAGATCATGTCTTGACTTATAATCCCGCAGGTATGACTGATTTGTGCATTTTCAGTTATTTGGGCTTAGCAAACGCACGTACCCAAACTCTATATACTGCGAACATTAATATTTAGACATTATAATCATTCATGTATATATTTTAATAGTAATACAAGACATCTTTAAATAAAAGTCAGGTATAAATTAATGTTAATTAAATTAAATTTGAAAATAAAAAATATAAACGAATATATAAAATATATAATACAGAAATATAAATATATAAGATATATAATATAAAAATATAAATACATACATATATCCTATGTAAAAGTATTTGACATAGAATAGTGAAAGCAAGAGCTCATTTCTTCCTTAGTTAAAAGATGTCTAGTCCTTCAGAAACATCTGAAGGTCCAACGCTGACTTTCACTTATTTTATGAAATGGAAACTGAAGTCAAATGATACGAGAAGCGCGTAGAAAAAAGTTTTTAACAATTGTTATAATTAATATTTTTAACAAGAACAACTTTTTTAGCAAATGGAGCGTTTAATTTTTCTGTATATCTGGATCTTTAGGCGATAATTAATTTCTCGAGTATTTAATGTAACGTCTTCCAATATATTCTTTATCTCTACAACATGTTACAATCAAAAGTTTCTGAAATTCTTCACATTAACCAACGTTTTATAATATAATATTTTCTTTTAACCTTGTTAAATTCATTCACTTTGAGTGATGTTCATATCTCATTGCAACTTATCTTTGCGTGAATCGATTTCCTGGAAGCGCGATGAAGCAAGAAATTAACAAAAAATCAGAGGAGAAATAATAAACTACATCACACGAATTTCTCTCTCTCTCTCTCTCTCTCTCTCTCTCTCTCTCTCTCTCTCTCTCTCTCTCTCTCTCTCTCTCGCATGCGCGCAAATTGTCCAATCGACACAGTGGTTAATCGATTTCTGTTATATTAATATATTTTTATTTTTTAATAAAATTACAAACTATCAATAGTAATATAATAAATTTAAAAGGTTAAAATTAATCGGTTTAATAAACATCTTTATGAAAGATAATACATATTTAACTATCGCAGTATTTTCAAAATTGTATATGTTTCCATATACCATATAATAACCATTAATAAAAAATTAAAGAAGAACCGAAATGTTGTAGTCAAAGTTTTGATTGATTGCAACAAATAAAGAAAATAATTTAATAAATGACATTTGCAATAAAATAAATTTTTTAAAATCTGTATATGCCATTTTATTTTTATCATTCATCATTCAATGTCAAACAATTCACCAACTGTTTGTGCGAGATCAGAAATTAAATCACTGTCGGAATCTTCCTGATTAGAGTTTTTGCTTTCGATTTGAAGACTCGTCGATCCATGAGTTCGGCCATTCCTAGAATCGTGTATCCGATGTTCAATCGAGATACCTGGACGGGAAACCCTGTGATTCGGTCGCCATTTGTAGATATGAATCGTTGGCTTTTGTTCTTGCCTGATTATGCCAGGCCCACCGATGTTCAATGTCGGCCGTGTTTCATCGTACGGCTTCGAAACAGTCAATGTTGGTCGATTGAAATGTTGATCTAAAGTAACCATTTTAACCCTTGACTAGTACTTTGACACAATAAACGTCATTAATTAATTTTTTAATAATTCTAAAACTGAGCAATAATTAACCAAAAATGTAATAGATAATATTATACTTGCCATTGTGTCCGTTGCTCGGACCAATATTGCTCCATGTTGGCCAATACGGATAGCGTGCATTAGCTTGCGAGAATTGTCTACCATTACCACCAGTTGTAGAGATTTGTGAAATACCAGCGGAAGATGCTGCGCCGGTAATTGCTTGTCCATTTTCAATCGTTCCGAAAGAGGATGCAGTTGCTTGACCAAAGCTAAGTGAATGGCTTTCGGTTTTGACATTGTTCCCGTTATTATAAGCTCCCGCGCTTGCGGTAGAAATTCCTGATAATCCCGCTGAAACAGTTGCCGATTTGCTTACGGAAATAGAAGATCTGAAAAGCAATTGTTTTTTTACATGCCATTAGAAAACAATGTAGACGTTCTCTAAAAATAATCGAAGAATAATCGAAGTGTTGTCGACAAAGTAGATTCATTATATGTTCTGGATGTATTGAAGAAACATTTCATTTCTAATTATCTAATTCTATTTCTCATTTAATTTTTAATTATCCTTGCGTTTTTTTTCGACTGTAATTACATACGAATTTTTTAATTACACTATATTATTTCGTACACACCCATACCCCGTAGGATGATCGTAACTGTTACTTTCCGAAAGGCTAATGCCATCGAGACTCGCACCGAGACTGACTGAGTGCGCATTGTTATTCCCTGCGTTTAAACTGACAGTCGCCGTGGGGTTGAAAGAAAAGAGACGTGTCTCGGGTTCCCCATTGTTTAACATCTTGACTGACTCGGGCGTTAGTTCTGGCGGCGTGTTCCATCGTTCGTGTTTGTCTACTCAATGAAAAACATTTGTTCAAGCATCTAAAAATCCAGGAGATGATAGAAAAAACGGATATATGTATTTTTATATACCATCGAATTGTATACTTGCATTAGTTATCAGAAGAATGACATTGAAATGCGTACACAAAATTTTTATAAATCAGACCTTAGCGCTTTTATGATAAATATAATCGATGCATGTTGTAATACATTTGTGCAATTCAACTTAATTGAAGACTTTAAAATCCTGAACTAATTTTATTCGTTGAAATAAGGAAATGACAATATTTTATAACGAGTAAATTATCAAAGTCCTGCGTGTTCATACGTTTAAAACGTATCAGAACAGTTATAACAAATAAATCACGTTTGCATTTTTGTCGGGTAACTTGCAATGAGAAAAATATTGACTTAATTTTTCTCTGCTAAATATTCACTAGTTCAGTTGTAATTTATTTTACGTTGCTACTTAACTAGCGTATTTTTTAAATTGTAAATAAACGAAAAATGTGGCAAGCATGCAAACTGTGTCTGTATTGATATATGGACTTTGTATTAATTAAACAAAACATTTTAAATAGCACATAGTAAAATATATATAACACTCTTCTTTCGCATCATTGTAATTGCATTAATTATTTGATACCAATATTCAAGATTGAAAATTCTTTTTATTTAAATTCTATTTAATATTATGAGTGAATTTTTTGTGAATTTGGAAAATTAAGACAAACTGATCCTTTGTAATTAGTTGCATTATATAAGACAAATCTGAGTAAATCTTATTTTTATATATTTAAAATTTGTAAATGAATCAAACCATGAATCACAGTTTATTGAAGCTAAATCAAACCAATAATAATTTATTCAATTTCGCAGATATTTAACTTACAGGATGTAAGAAATATGAACGATATTGATAATTTTTCTGCTTTTAAGAATCATGGAATTCGGTTAACATAATCCACGTTTGATGAAATAAAAATTCCATGAATACCATAAAAAACACTATATCACGACACACCTAACAGGTTTAAAAAGAATCTCTTCGCTGAGCGACATTTGCAATTATATACTCACACAAATCACATAAATCTTATTACATACTTATCACAAAAATTCCTTTTTATCAACATTCTCCATATCTTTATGCGCAGTGGCACTTGTATTTCCATTTTTCAGTAATGCTTTTCTCACCTGTCCGTACAAACGACAGCGCGAACGTTAGTAAAAGAACGCTACCGATGCTCTTCGCCATGTCTGAAAACGTTCTGACTGGTCGTGCCATCGCCCTGCCCTTTTTCAATAACCACGCATGACCTTAGGTTTAGTATTAAGATGCAGGACGCGTATATCTGCATAACTCTTCTTAGGTGAATCGTTGCGCGAGGTGTCGGGAATCATGAAGCAGAACTGTGATTCTCAATGTCTCCTAGATATCAGTGATCAATTAACTTTTTGAATTATTTAACCGATTTAACGTACATTAAGTAGGAATTAATTATAACCAAAGGAGACATATTTAATTTGAAACAATAATTTGTTAATCTTTTATGACAATAATACATTGACTTTTATGAATTGCCGCGGCTGATGATTTTACGCAATTCCACAGTATCGATTAGAATTAAGAATACAAAATAATTACGCAATCACTTTATTAACACGGGATTACATAATACAAAGTTATGTAAAAGATACGAAATTTAGTAAGTATTTAAACAATTTGTTATACAGTCCGCAAAACTAATTTTAAAAACACACTATCGAATAACATTTTTAAATGTTAATGAATATTGAAATAAGAAAAGTTTTTGAAACATGATTTTTCACAACAGCTATGTAATATTAGAAGTTAAACAAAATATAAAAATCCAATTGAATTAAAAAATTGTAATGCTTAAATATAAAAATTCATAAAGGTAATACATTTTCTTATAATCGTATAAACTTATTCAGTATTGGTTTATTAAAGATTAAAGTCCTTTGCGTCTTATGTTTTTCTTGTTTAATCGTGATTATGTAATATCATGCTCTACCTTTTTGATAATTTTAATTGTTCGTTTGAAACGGGACTGTTGACGATCTCTTATTTTCAGCTAACGTTTCAGACTCTTCTGCTTAATACTTTTTACGTGTTAATCGTGTTATCGGTTTTTATAGATTTTCTTATCGGAAGAAGGAATGTTGACAGAAATTCCGGTGAAGCTTTCAAAAAGGTTTCCTTTTCAATTCCAAAGCTTTCTTTTGGCTTGTTGTATTGCCTTGCATTGCTTTTCATATTTCTGAAACTAATGCTCAGTTATCGTATTTCGTCCGGTGTAGGGGCGTCCGGTAGAATGTTATTTTCTATTCGTGTCTGCGTCTTCTTGTCATTTTCATCATTTGTATTATCTACAATAAAGCAAATGCTCATGTGTCTCTTCGTATAGTGGATGGATATATTTTTATCATAGCATCATACGCATATACCTTTTAAAAACTTACCTTTGACCTCCGTAGGCATATTTCCCATTAATTTCTCCAAAGTTTGTAAAAGTGTAACCATCTCCAGCGCTTTAACAACTACAATGAGGCAAATACTCATGTGTCCGTTCGTATAGTGAATAGATATATTTTTATCGTAAAACATTATATATATATATCTTTCAAAAACTTACATTCCTCCTTCTTTGGCATTTCTTTTTCCTGCTCGCGCGCCTCCACTCCTTCTGTCTTGTCCTTGTTGTCATGTTCTTTCTTTAGTATTTCTCTTTCCTGCTCGCGCGCCTCCACTTCTTTGACTAGATGCACGAAGTGAAAAATATCTGTTCCAACTATAATAAAATATTTGTTTAATTATCATGTGTCCACTTGTAGCTATATCTATATAGATCTTTTACTATAGCATTATGTATAACTTTCAAAAACTTACGTCGTGTGACGTGTGAGAGAGGAGCCAAATACTCCAGTTTTTGGAGCAGAGACAGTTTCGGCGAAACTGTGTTGCCAATGCTCGGCAAACCTGTGTAGCCAATGTTCGGCGAAACTGTCTTGCCAATGTTCGGCGAAGTTTTCTTGCCAATGTTTTTCAAACGGTTGCCAAAGTTTTTCAAACGGCTACCAGCGTTTTTCAAACGGCTACCAGCGTAACTCCTAAACCTTATAGGCTTAAATCTAAATACACCTGGATCACTCTCGCGTTTTACTATTTTCGCTACATTTGTGTGAGATTTAAACAAGTCGTCGTTTTCCATCTCTTCGAGTAATGCGTCGCTGTTTTCATCTTGCCTTTCCGTGTGGTCGTAGTCACTAAGGGGAAGACCTGCATTACGATATATATATATGTATATACAATATATATATAATAATTTTTATTTTTGTAAATAAAGAGGAAACATAATTTCCAAATTTTATCTAATAATTAAAAATTTATCAAAAATTTATTAAGTAAAAGTAACGCAATTTTCAAAATATCGCTATACATGTAATATTGAGTTACGTGACGTGTGGCGTTATAATTAAGATTTTATACGTTATAATTAGCATTTGATACAATATTAATGCATTATTGGGTAGCAGCGTAGTTTATACAAGAAATAGGATGTGCATAAATTGCTTAAATTTCATAGTTCAGATATATGCAAGAAACTATAAAAACATGTCAATTGTTAGATACAATCAATGCAAAAAGTATCAATGTTAATGTTAAATTAATTTTATTGGTTTATATAATTTTTTATTTAAAGCCATCTTTACATAAGTTATAATTAGCGTCAGAATTCAAAATAAATAAAATAAAATAAACTAATTTATGGTTCTAATTTGACGTGCACTATTGTAGCTACTACTCCTACTCAATATGTCATTCATTTGATTAAACAATGGAGTTAAAAAACTACAAAATGATTTGTTTTTAATTATAATTTGTATTGAAATAATAAATTTTACACACCACGGCTAAAAATAATAACCTACTGAGTAGGAGTAATGGCCACTCTACTCATTAAGTTAAATTTAACATTACAAATTTAACTTTGTTGTTTTCTCGCCGTATTAATTACGAATAGAATTTTGTCTCACAATTTCACATCTTATTGATCACATAAACGAGTTTAAAGTTGAAAAAATATATACCTACTTCATCAATCGTTAATTTACATTAGATTTTATATTTTTACACAACAGGGAACAAGATTTTATTTTCTTCTTTGTACCTCAGAGTTTTCACTTATCGGATTTCATGTACAGTCGTGGTCAGAAAGGTTGTCCAAGGTTTTATAAGAAATTTCGAAAATACAAGTCTATCATGCGAGAGATTATAGTTTTCGCTCTTGCAAAAGTGGCGCGTTATTAGAACAAAGGAACCATATGCACGAATATCTATTCTATGCAATGATACATACGAATATTCCGAAAATTTATTGTAAAACATTGGACAACCTTTTAGACCATAGCCATCCATGACAATAGATATCATTCGTACTTTTAATACGAGGAAGAGAATTAACAGTTAATTAAAGGTATTCCCGCTTGCAGCATTTCTTACGGAATATGTGAGCGGATACATTACTATTCTGACATATCAATACGGTCGTATAAATCACGAGAATTAATATACGTAATTGATCACGCAATTGATGACTTATCTGTCGGCATTCTTTTCACTTACGATTTCTCAAAAATGCATATGGTATCCTGCGTTTTGTTTATAACTCAAGTGATTCACGCAGTGTTCAAAAGAATATTCGATATAAGAACGTTTCTGACATCCCATGAGAACGAAAACTCAAACGAAGTCCACTCTTATGATGCCAATTATCTTGCGTTTATAACGCTTGACTTATATATTTAACAAACAGTCGCGCATATTTTTTGTTGAAATTATATTTATGATCATTTTATAAATTTTAAATTGTTTCAATACTTCAAAACGATGAGCAATTAACTTGTCGTATTTTGTATATTGAATAATTTATGCAAAAGAGTAGAATAATATACTATAGGAAAAGTACGACAAAATATATTAGCTGTTACCTTTTATTCCGTGATATTGCACAAAGGCAACTGTTACCAGTAGCAGAAACCACTTCATGGTCTTGATCGACGGATTTCTCGAACCACAAGCAAGTAAAAGCAAGTCTTTGGGCAAGACAGACTCTACTGAGCTTTCTTAGGTACACGTCCAACTTATATAGGGTTAAAAAAACATAAATCTTGCATATCAAACTGCTATAAGGATAATCCTTACTGACAGCTCTCAATAACTTTTATCAAAGTTAATGTTCCACTCTTCAATGTTCTATTTGTTGTACTTCTTCCCATGCATGTACATACCCAGTACATTTTGCGATAAAAATTCCATAAAGGGATAAAACGTTATCTACTAATGCTTTGAAAAGTATTTAGCTCTGCTATCAGTATCCGAGTGCTTAAAATAACTTTCATCCTTCTTCTAAGAATTCCAACCTTTGAAATATTCCTGAACAGTGAGAAAACGAATATACAATAAGTCTTTGTCAGTAAGAAATAAAAGCGCCTTGTGAACAATATAGTAATGAAACTAGCACTTTTCGTGAACATTCGTCACTGCGAATATGTGGAAAAAAGAATCGTAAAGCATTTAAATTCCTCGTCATAATCTTTGATTATATTACACCCGAAGTCGTTTCTTTGGTCGGTTATTCGTAATTGAATTCCGAAAGAGAAAGTTACACGTTGTGCGAAGTATTTAAATGCTAATCGTTGTCATAATAGCTGAATATGCTGAGGTCGATAATTTTCAAAAGAAGAATGTCACTACTTCAGAGTCACGTCTGTCTGTCATTACAATAATGCACAACAAAGCACAAAATGTATGTTATACGAAATAACTACTTGAATCAAACAAGGTTAAACATGTCTCGTCCTGACAATAAACTTAAAATGTAGATAAAGTCAAAGTTATTTCGCGGAATGTAACTACGCATTTCTCAACTTGTAATACAGTTAATGAAAATGACTATTGTGATAAATGCAAAAATCTACTATATTTTCGGGGAAAGGGGAATATTCTTTAATTACATATTTCAGTGTTTATTATGATTCAGTACAAGATTTTCTACTACTTTTAATGTTTTATAATTTGTGTTTAAGCATACAGATTGGTTCAATTTGGCGATCCATTAAAGTACTTAACGATTTTTATGTTTAGATTATATTTTATAAAAGATGTTACTACTAATTAAATAAAAATTGTACTTTCCAATATTTTTAATTCGCAAACTTTTATATATGTTATATAATTTTAATTTCGTATAGATCTTGACATACAAATACGAGCGTATTTGGCCATAGTGGTCACGCTTGCCTTAATCGAAGACGAAGCGTGGTATCTAACTTTCGAAAACAATGGGGCGGTCAGGAAGGAGCAAAGCGGCTGTCAGATTATTGCGTAGAAGATAATCAAGTTCCGCGATGGGTATTTCCCGAACAGCCGCGTCATTCGATTATTTAAAAAAGAAAATAGTTTGCCTAGCGAGGCTAGGAGCGATTGCGAAATCTTGAGAAAGATTTTCGGATATCTCGACTTTTATTTATTGAAAACTCAGCAAATGACAGATAAAGTTGTTGCGCGAATTAAGGATGTTTATTCAAAAGAAGCTTAATTTTATTTTACGTGTTACAGACGTCGCCAAGCGATAGTACATAAAATCGAAAATTACTTCTCAATAGAGATTTATTATACGAGTAACACTTTTACTTTTATTGACAAGAAAATAAGAAAAAGAAATTATGCCTGTTATTTTCGGAAATGAAAAAATAATCCCGCAGCGTTTAGACAGAGAGACGCGTTCGGTTTTATGTATCGCTGTAATTGTATAGACAAAAATTCCTCTGCAAAGTGAATAACATTGGCTTATCGCAGTATTAACGCCAACATCGATTCTTTAACATTTCTCCGTTGCACGATCTTTCACCAGAATGGAATATTTTTATCGCTTATTTAAAAGATATTTATGCCTGAGTCACGTTTCGCCGTGACTAAACGAGTAATAACATCGTTGGTAAAAGGCGGTGCATCGCGTTAAGACATTTTACTCATGCTGACCATAATTCGTTTGAATGAGACACTACTGCGCATAGAAGTTCCGCGAATGCAACTGAGAGGGTACTAATTTGTTAGCTGCTAGCCGGTAATCAATCGTTTGTAGGATTACCCTGATCGATTGATTGGAAAATACGTGTTCGAGCTTCGGGCGCGGGTTTAAGGGGACCAGAGAAACGACGGAGTAATCGCGATTATCCCGGATCGATTATCACATCTAGCAGGATGTGGAAACCGGCTGTGATCATTCGGTGACAGGCCATTATTATTTATAAAACAATTACGCGCAAATTGTCGCTGTTAATGGCGATACTAGGTGAAATATCGACCGGTGAAAAAAATGATGATTGATGGCGATGAAACTCACAATTAATATACATTGAATTTTGCAATTAAAGGAAGCTAAAGTTATTTGTAATCAGATTATACAGAATGTGATAGGTCACGGAGAAATATTCTTAATTGTATTCTCAAAGAGATATTAGAGATATTTTAAGTAGCTGTACTTACCGTCCAAGTCTCGATACTATCTATTGTCTTTCCTATCAATCATAAGGACTAAGGAATAGATTGAAAATACATATCGATTATTTCTATCAGTATTAATAGCGTCCGAGATATACAATTGAAAATTAAAAGCTTTCCGGGATAGGCATTACGTGAAGGGAAACGTGCTCATCATTTAGAAAGTCCTCAGGTTTAAAAAATTAAGAAGTAATAATAAATGAAATGATATAAATTATAGAAATAAAAATTAAGAAGTGATAAAAAATAAAATTCTATAAAC